GTCCGGTATTCAAAAAATTAATATCATAACAAAAATAAAAACCGGTATTCGGTACAAAACGGTATACCGCCCAGCACTATCATTTAGACATAAAAGTAATTCAATATTGCCTAAAATGTTATAGTATGACAGAACCTTAAGAGGCTTAAACTGCATAGTCCTGTCATATAACAATTTCAAATAACTAAAATGTCAGTGTGTGAAGCCAAATAAATGTAACATCTGCCTGCCATTCAATGAGCTTCTACCTGCTGAACTTATCAGCTGCTGTTCTGCTGCGCTCTCATCTTCACCATCAGAGCAGAAAATGACTGTTACATTAGCAAGATYGATTTATGACTGAACAAACATCCACGTCTTTTTTATCKGGTCTGTGGGTGACAAAACAAAAAAAAAAAACAATTTTTTTCTCCGACAACTTGGGTGTGAAAAAACTCKTCCTGCTCAGTTGTCTCTGCCCTCACAGCCCTGTTGACACAGGTGAAATGACGTAACTGACGACAGGACTGTAGAGGGTACATTTCTACCGTAGGCCAACTTCATATCGTTTCTACCATCTATCACATATACCACAAAGCTCTATGGGCCCAACACAGTCATTGTGTTAGATGGGCATATGATATCACATTATATCTAGGGCTGTGCATTGGCGAGAATTTGGCAATACGATACGTATCAAGACAGAGAGGTCACGATACGATATATCCCGATGTATTGCAATACTGTAAGCAAGGCGATATATTGTGATTTTTTTGTTCCAAAAATTCTATTAAATAAAAACCTCGTACTGGGAAAAAAAACAAATGAAAAACCAAAATTCATTGTCTCAGAAAATTCTATTCCATAGACATGCGCTAGCCTTCTGTAATGTGAAGGCTAACTAAAGTTGGAAAAAAGAGTGCATGAGACACTTAATCTGGCTTAAAATACAGACATTSTGACAAATAAGTAACTGTTTGTAACCTTACCTCAGCTTAGAAGGCAGAGGGTGTCGGTCTTTTCCGCTCAGATTCAGCTATTGGAGCATGAAGCTAATGTTTACTTACAATGCTAATGCTACCCTTACTCTCTGGCGCTCAAGAGGTAGAGGAGCCAAATGGCTGGCAGGAAAGTTGACGTTTTAAACCTTAATAAAAAATCGATACAGGGCTTTAGAATTTCGATACAGTATCGGGAAATGAAATATTGCGATATTTCAGTGTATCGATATTTTCTTACACCTCTAATTATATTGATCGCAGACTTGTGAACTGAACTGAAATCAAATCGTGGCAGACTTTGTGATATGCTACGTTCACACCGAATGCGTTTTGAGCAGCAAGAAAGCGCACAACGCCTCCAGCTGGACGCACTACGTTCAGACCGGGACAGAGACTAGACGCTCGTCTGAAGAGGGGAGGAGCGTCTTGGTTTTTTTCTAGTCTGTCCTCGGCGGGTGAAATCAAGATAAAATAAAGAAAATGGCTTTGCTTTATTTACTAAAGAGCAAGTGAACGTTGCGCACAGCAGATAATTAATTCACCAGACGATTTAGAGGTGATTTGGTCGGTTAGTTTCACCACTCCATAAGCTGCGAGCTGACCAACTTTTTTTTGTCCCGAGCAGCTGACCCACATCGGTACTGATATATCCTGTCAGAAAATCCAACTGCAGACGATCGATTTCAGCTAAAGAGCTCCTGTTCGTCTGTTTCAGTTTAGTGGGCAACATTCAGGAAACTGTCACGTGGAAAAATGAGTCTCTCTGATTGGTTGTCAAGATGCGTCGAGCAGCGTAAAGTTCAGATTTTTGAACTCGGGCGGCGGCTGCTTCCACAGCACCGCATGCGCGGAAAATGCTCTGCCGCCCCTTCCGCATTCCTTGCGTGCTGCGCAAAACGGATGTGACGCGACGCATGACCRCTAGAGGCGCGTCCACCATAGACTTTGCATGTAAATTGGCTCCTCCTGCAGCTCAAAACGCGTTCGGTGTGAATCCACCAATAGAGAAATATTGAATCGTCATCCAAACATATCGATGTAACATCATATCGTGATAAAGCTGGTGATTATACCCCTATAAATGACATAAAAGTAAATTAGGGAAAATCTGTTTGAAACATCTCTCTTACTTCAGAGTGTCATAAGTCTTGAGAATCTAAATGGTGCAGGTTAAATTCTACACTGAACTGTGTACTTTTACTAAGGTCATGWACACAGTATACTCCATTAAGMTGAACAGGATGAAGACATGATGAAGTCAAAGGTAAACAGTAAACATACCTTGGATGTTGGTTGTCAGTTCGTAAAGACAGATGTTCGTCGGAGAAGTTGTTTCGCTGCTGATTCTGTCATCAACACATTGTGTCGTCGTCGACATTTGGTCCTGATAAGAGAAAACGTGACTGTGTTGTTGTGATAGAGGATCAGCTGGGAGTACCTCCGGCTGCTCATCGCAGGCATTACTGTCAGCACGTGGCAGAGGGTTCACATTGTGAGGAAGCTTTAAAGGGCTGGTCGTTTCTCTGAGCTGCACAGAACGTTCTGAGCTCGGCAATGAGGCCAGAGCGGTTTGTGTCGTTTGACCGACAACAAGTGAGGAGAAATTAGAGTCCGTCAGCTGCAAGCAGCCAGAATCACAAAGTGTCTCTGAAGAGCTGTCCGATGCACTCCAACCCGACCGGCCGTTCTGCTGTACGGCTCCTCCTGAACCTCCATCTGGTCTCTCCTCTGGCTCAGGGACTGCAGGTCTTTCTGAAACTGTTCTGTTTTCTAAGTGATTTGTTAAATCTTCAACTTTCTGTGATGGCAGCGTTAAACCGAGCCGAGAGCTGATCCCTGAGGCACCTCGTTGACCTCTGACCAGCCAAAGACGGTGCTTTTCGCTCCTTTTCCTCCAAAACCAAAACTGTAATTTAAAATACAGGCGTCTCTTGGCCCTCCTGGACAGATGAGACGCTCCCTTAACCGACGACATGAATTTCTTCCACCTCTGCAACGACGCAGCCTTCCTGCAGCGGTTCCCTGTTTGGTACATCGGTCAGAAATCGGAGGGTGAAAGACTCACGTGGGAACATGCAGTTCTGGGAACGACATAAGTGTAACGGCTCGGAACAGGAAGAAATGTATGTTTCAAGTCATGGTCGACTTTCTCAGAGTTGCCTTCAGGTCAGAGCAGACAGGATCAATCCAAGCAGGTAATGAAGAATCAGCTCCAACTTCTCAGCTTCCTTCAGAGGTCCTCATCTTTATCCCAGTGTCCTGCAGTCTGAAGCAGCTGCAGCAAAGAAACAAAAGGTTTGATAAATATTCCTGTTGAACAAGAAAAATCACTTAGGAAGCGGGTTTGCACAAACAAGCCAGAATTAGCTTTTTACTACGGCACGATATAATAACCAGTACAATCAGAGACACTTTAAATCAAATATATATATTTCACTTAAACCTTTATATTGTTGTTAGTTTTGCATTTTGCACCACTGTGAAACTGATCATAAAGATCTACAAAATAGCTTTCACGTGAGTCACTTTAAAAATAAAGAGATTTGACCCGTTTAAAGTAGGAACGCACGATATATCGGTACTGATATCGGTATTGGCCGATATTGGCAATTTTTTAGAATATCGTTATCGGTCCGATATGTAAAACTGGGCCGATATTAACGTCCGATATTGATTTCCCACTTTTTATCTTTGTGTTTCTGTTTTGGGAGGGGAGATGGTTGAGCAGCATCTGTTTGATCATGTTAGTGATATTAACGCTGCGAAACTAGGAACTGAAGTAGGGAGCCATGTCAGAGGTCTTGACGATTATTTACAGTATCAAAAAAAGACCCAAGTGTGTTTGTGTGTATATGTATAATATAATTTGTGTGTTTGTGTAATATTGGTAAATATCGGTTATCGGCCATAACAGCAATAATTATATCGGATATCGATATCGGCTGAAATTTTCATATCAGTGCATCCTTAGTTTAAAGACAACAGCAGTTCATTTTAAACTCAGCTTAGACTAGCCATTAGCTCATCATTCCTGTCAGAATTTATTGTTTTCTTCAAAGTCAGTCTCCTCTAAAAAAAAGCTTCTATGAGAATTAAGCTACGTTCACACCGAACGCGATTTCAGCGTCAAAATCGCAGCCAACGCTGAAGTTTGAAGCTTGTGCACTTTGAGGTCAGACGCAGGACAGCTGCGCTGCACGGCAGAGTCTCCCCGCCCCTCCCTCCTCTGTGGGGCTGTTTAATGTCYGACGAGGAAGTGGCTTTGCTTTATTTACAGAGAGCCAGAGCATGTCACGTTCATCAGATAATTAATTCATAATTAATTCACCAGATAATTCAGAGTAGAGGCTCACAGCTCGCTTTCAGGACTATTTTTTTCAGTCTGATGAGCCGCTGCCACGCATTGCTGCGGATCAGGACATGACTGCAGCACTCATTTCAGCTAAAGAGCAGGAGCTCAGTCTGTTTCAGGTTAGTGGACCTCATTCAGTAAACTGTCCCGTTGGGAAATATGTCGCTACGTCACACAGTGGAGTCTCTCTGATTGGTTGACGCTGCGCGTCGAGCTGCAAAAGTTCAGATTTTCTAACTTCAGCGATTTGCGCCTCAGCGCGTCGAACGCTCAGATCGTTCAAATCGTTCAAATCGCGCTGCTCTAATCGCGCTTGAGGCGCCGCAGCATTTCCTGACGCTGCTTGAAGCGCGTCCACCATAGACTTTGTATGTAAACCTGCTGCTCCTGATGCTGAAATCGCMTTCGGTGTGAACGCACCATAATTCTTCATAAACTTTCACACACAACCTTTCTTTAAAGTAGAGATGAATGATATATCTGCATTAACATCAGTATTGGCCAATGTTGGTCATTTTTGTAGCATATCTGTATCAGTTTGATAAGTACCACTGGGCCAATATTAATGTCTGATATTGATTTCCCACTTGTTGCTGTTTGTGTTTCTGTTTTGGGAGGGGATATGGTTGATCAAGTGATGATTGTAGTGATATTGACGCTGCGCAGCCCATAATAACTGAAGTACAGAGCAGAGCCATGTCAGCGGTCTGGTCCTTTTTTTATGGTATCAAAAAAACACAAGTGTATTTGTGTGTATAATTATTTGGGTGTTTGTGTAATATCTGTAAATATCAGTTATCTGCAATAACAGCAATATTAATATTGGATATGGATATCGGCTGAAATTTATATATTGGTGCATCTCTACTAGGGCTGCACGATTTTGCAATGGCCATAATTTTTGTAAATATTGCGATGATAATATCAGGTGCAATACGTGTCTTTTCTTTTTCTTTCCTCACTTTCTAAACTGTACTTCCCACTCTAGGCGACTCCTCAGGCAGCATTGTGTTCAGAGCTTTAAATTCTCTCTGACTCTCCTTTTCCTTCTGTGTGACGGTTTCATTTTGTAGAGTTCCCACAATCCCTTGCGTGGCAGGAAGCAACTGGAGCTGAGTGACAAACAAACAATATCCAGTCATCAATTTTGTTGTTTAAATACTTATGAGCTTTGGGAGGATAGAGGGAGGAATTATAATTATGACCCACTGCATCTTCACCAACTCGCTGTCTCACGTCGTARTGAAGCTCACACAAAACAGTTTAAATTCACGCTCTTATTTTGAAATGAACGGGTTGCTGTTCATCCTGTAGGCTACCCAGAATGCATCGCTTTAGTTTTACAATAAAGTTTAAAATTGCTAATATATCTGCAGGTTTTCCAATATTTTAAAATCTATTCTGAATTTGACAGGGAGCCAGTGGAGAGAAGCTAAAACTGGAGAAATATGATCTCTCCTTCCAACTCTCATTAGAACTCCAGCACTCATCACTTAAACTTAATTAACAGGTTAAAACTGGTGGTGTTTTACCACCAGTTGCAGTTTTCTGACCGATCGCTGATCTTTAAAAGTCTGACCTGGCTGCCAATTCCAGTTTTGACAGATTCAGATGTTAACTGGACATGCTCACAGCTTGATAATGAGTGCACTGCACACAAAAATATTTCAACACGTGGCTCAAGTTTTAATTGTTGACAGTTTTTCTGCTGTTCAATTGCTCACAATACTTTATCCAACCCTAAGGTACAGTGGGGTCATTACCCACACCCTGTTTGGTTTTACAACACCCTCGTTTAACTGGCCTCAGGACACACTCAGAGCATCAAGATCATTTTTGGGTCGGCAAGAGTTTTTTTTTTTAACTCTACATAAATTTTGTTAACTTCCATAAAATACATAAGCGGCAGAGGGAAGCCAGAGGAAGACAAAGAATAAATTGTGGCGGCTTGGATAAGGAGGGTAACACTTTAACAGCTTCGGTAGCTGTTGTGTGTTGTTGTGACACTCTCCACTCGCTGTCTTATCATAACTTTGTAATGTAAATTTCATAAGCAGGGGGTCTACATCCTCCTCCAAAACAACTAACAGGTTTATTACCGAGGGAAGAACTGCGCTGATGCACAAAAAGACAAAAGGTTTCACACATTTCATGTGCTAATTATTGACTCTTACTGAACTTGATGTAAAACACCTGGTGTTTTTGGACAGTGATGAAAATATTGGTTGACAAGGGTATATAACATGAAACAATATAATTGCAAAAAAGTTATTACAGAGGACTTGAAWTATTTTTTTAAATTATTCTTTAATTCTTCTTATTCTTATTTATTACTCTGATATTTTAATGTCTAAAGCAGTCCAATCCTGGATTTTAAGGGCCACTATTCAGCTGTACAAACMAAGCACTAACCWATCCGCTTACTTGTTTGGATTTTTTGTGTGGGTGGGGTGTCAGCTTCACACAGCTCCACTATTCTGCATATTTTATTGGACTGAACATCACTTGTCTAATTAATCCCATAACATAGTTTGTTAGTTTATCTGATTAAGTAAACCCACTCTCCAACATGACTCATTTAACATGTTTTATTGTTTTTCACTTGTATTTAATTTGTTTACTTCCAGCTTCATATGTTACCAGTTCATGCTGTTTTAAACAGACGTGCTGAGTTGTGTGTCTGTTGTCAACGTGCACAGCGATGTCCACGCAGGGAGACACGTGTTAACTCWATGTTTGCTTTCCTCCAGACTGTCAGGTCAAACTGCCCTCGTGGTCTTCTCCGGGCACGTGCTACTCAATCAAGACGGTGGTGGGATTTATCTACCGTGCTACGTTTACTGACAACACAACACAACACAACACAACACAACACAACACAACACAAGGAGCTGCGAGCCGAACGCGTTCGGCCTTACCTGAATTCGTCCGTTTCCGGGCTGTTGTCAGAAACATAAGGTTCGCCGCAAAGAGTTGAATTAAAGTATTTTTTACTCACAAATACCGGGTTACAAACTCTAAAACAGCAGCGACTGAAGCTAATGTCGAGGTGGCGTTCATTAATAACACCCGGCTCCTGTTTGCAGCCGAAAAATCTTATTTTTRAAAGCAGCTGAGGAATCACACACTGAGTCGCACATAAAACACGTCATTCGTCCGCGAACCAATCAGATCACAGCTTTATTAAAGCGACAGATTTGAACTGAATGGCCGTGTTTAAAGGACCAACATTAAATAATTATGTAATTATGCACATTTATATTGACGTAAAATAATATTTTGAATTGTTACGACATATAAAATGGGGTAGTTGTGGGAAAAATAATATTTTATGCATAATTGCATTTTATACAAATACACATTTTATCTGTCTGTCAGTTTATTTCTTTCCATTAAAAATGATACTGTTGTGTGGGGGTGAGGATGAGGGTGGGATGGTGCGATTGTGTATGTTTGGATATTTGTCAGGCTGCGGTCTGGGCTGCCCCTACTGCTGGTTTATCTGGGGGCCCGCTGCT